AAATACCTTCCTACACCTTGTTAAATCACGGTAGTTGCATATGATCCCAATCCTTAGCACTATAGTACGCAAGATGGGCTCAACTTGTACGGGGTGGCTACCACCAGGGGGCTTTCGATGAACTGCTTTAGGGGCGCATGCCTGTAAAAGAAAAACTCCAGACACATTTTAAACACCCCACACCCGCCCTCCCCTGAACCCATTCAAACCCTTTTAAAAGCGAAGGACAACGATTCCATTTCATTTTGAGCGCAAATATTACAAAGATGATTACTTATGTACAGGATCGTTACACCACATGTACATTCCATGCATTGACTCACTGCTTGGGTTAAGAGGTAGTTGTAGCTTATCTGTACCAATCTGGGAGATGACAATGACGTTTTGCAGAACACACCGCATTGGCTGAACAGATGACCATCCACTCTCACAATCCAGTGCTGTAAACTTCTCAGAAGACCTATTAAACGACATTGGGTTGCCTTTCCTTCCAGATGGGGGGGAGAACTATTGATCGCAGGGAGTTGAAGTCCAAACAAGTAGCTCCTCTCGCCAGCACACAACCAAGGCATTCACCACAGCAGACACCACCAATATCATGTCAGCGCAAGAGGAGATGTGACCACGGTACAAAACGCTTTACACCGCTTGCCTGAAAAAAGGAAGAGAGAGCTGTGCGAGAAATTGTGTTCTACAATAGTTTTATAAAAAGTGGTAATGAAGCCAAGCTTCTGAGTGTTACAGAGATACCTCAGCCCAAAATACAAACCAATGACCCGCTTTACACTCCTGAAGCTAGAGACTGCGTGCCCATCCCACTCTGGAGCTGCTGCAGCGCTGGCCTCTCATCTACTCTGCCCTGTGCTTCTGGCGCCCTCTGTAGACCTCCTGATCGCATCGCCTCTCTCTGCTCCTGCCTCCACGCCCTCTGGACTTGTCCTGCCTGGCTCGTCTGTGGTCCTCTCACGCCCTCTGGCCTTGTCCTGCCTGGCTCGTCTCTGGTCCTCCCACGCCCTCTGGCCTTGTCCTGCCTGGCTCGTCTCTGGTCCTGTCCTGCCTGGTCCCAGTCTGGTCCTCTCCCCGTCTCCTACGATTCTGTAGCCACGCTGGTCCTGAATCTTCCGATTAACAAAGTCCATTCTTCCCCACATTAACTAAGTCCATTCCCCCCAATAACTCAGTCCATTTTCCCCGGGATAAAAAAAAAAAATCTTCTGTCTTC